CCTTCTTAGTGTACATTCTGTTGACGTACCCTATTAAAATGCAATCAAAAATGCAAAAAACCGCATCTAAAATAGTATAAATAGAAGCAGAGTTCTTTACGGTAAGCCTTACGGGGAAGGCTTACCGTAAAGAACTGTCCATTCCCCATGTTTAACGGAATAATATACAGCATATGTCCACCCTGAAGTTCCATTCTAAATATTGGTAAAAAATTTTTGAAATCGGATGAGTAGTTTCGGAGATTACCTGCTGCATACAAACTAACATACATATATACATACAAACATTACCTCTTTATAATATTAGTATAGATATCCGCTGCTACAGCACACACTTGCTAATCCGAACTAGTTACTGTACAAGATTCTTCAAATTTGAGAAGTTATACATAAAGAAAAGGAAGTGAAAAAAGGACGAGAGACAAATATATGCACAGTTTATAATTTTTTATACTGTATTTGATACATATTTAAGTTGAAATGTGTAGTACATATTAATTTCACAAATTTTCATGTTCTAAAAAATAATTTGCAGTTTTTTTATATTTGACTAAAAAATTTAATGGTAGAATGAATAAAATTGGCTTGGATAAGACGAGTTTGGATTAGCAAGAGTACACAGTAATGTGAACTATCAAATATAATTACTGCATAAATTAAATATTCTGTAAACTGTCATAAATGCTGTTTTTTAAAATAATTTATTGATATTAAGATATTTTATAAATAATACTATTAATATATTTTAAATTGTCCAATAACCACACTGCAGTTTTACTAAACAGATGCTAGACTTGAGCAAACTTTTTTATTTAAATGAAGATACAAAATTCCAGGCAACATGCATTTCCTGTCTTTTTCCAAAACAACTCAGTTTCAGCTGCCTTTTTAACTCACTGATGCCCATTTAAAAAGTAACGTCTCAACAACATATGTATGCACAATACACCAAAGCCACCAGGTACAAATTTAATATGGTTATCTCAGACTTAATCCAGAATTTCCCATCAGTTATTGGTCAATTTAAAATAAAATTAATGTAAAATAAAATAAAAAAAACTATTATTTAGGTCTCTAATCATAAAATATTAAATAAAATAGTTTAAAGATATATTCAGAATGTTTATTAAGAAAACATTTTAGTGTTTTAGACTTATTTGTATAAGAAAACTCAAACGTGTAATATTTACAAACAGTTAATACAATCTCTATTGTAATGCATGCGATTTCAAGGTTTCATATCAAAAAATGTTATTCAATTATCAAAAAATTGCATGTTGAAATCATGAGAATGGTGCGGTTAATTTTAATCATTTGTCAAGAGTTGTTATAAAACTAAAAACTAGGCTGGGATTCAAAAAAATGCCAAAATGATGTATTAAAAATGCAACACCAGCGATTCATATTAAAATAAAGACTTGTTTTCTATGCAAAATGAAGTTTTAATTCCACAATTTCATCTGAATTTTAAGTCTGACTTCAAAAGATTTGAAAGGCTAACAAAAGTGCATTTATTACTAATGATTACGCAATATCATGAGCAAGCCTATGATGGGTTACACCATGTTAAATTTTTAAATTTTAATATTAAATTCCAGTAATGTGAGCTTGAAAGTACTTAAAAACCAACTTTTAAACCAGTTTTTAACTCAATAAATACAAAGATAAATCAATCAATCTCTTAAGGTGTTGATTACGAATTCTTAAAATATTAATAAGTAATATAAAAAATTAACAAGTTATCGAATGCATGGCTTAAGAAATCTGCAGCGTTTCAGGGAATTTTAAGCAGTAATTATGAACATTTAAATCTTTAAAAATTAAATTTTTTTAATTAAAAAACACCGAGTTTATGTAACTTTATAAATTAATCAATCATCCTTTGTCATCTCAAAAATCTTCCCTTATCTGAGAAGAAATAGACAATAAATTTATTTATAAAATTATTCTAAACAATATTCTCAATTATTTTAAATAAAATATAAAATTTTAGATACTACTTTAATAGATAGTTTTGATAACACAAATTAGCTTTAATATTTAAATGACAAACAAAAAATTCTATTGAAATAGTCTATGTCAGTAAAATAATATTATCATCGTGTATTAAAATTTCAATACATTAAACTAGAAAAATATCCTGTTTGCTCTTAAATGTTAGCTTCTGAAACAAAAATACAAAATTGTATGGCAAAAATATTTAAATAAAGTTTAAACAACAAAATTTTAAACCATTCTGAATGTTGTAAAGTAATCATTTAGTGAAATTAGTGCAGGAGAATAATAAATTACAAATACAGTAGAATCAGCTTAATGTAACACCTGGGCACTTGTCTGTATCAATAACATTAAGTGGTCTAAGTAAATAAAACTACAATCATCAGAAACTCTGGCTATATTGACTGACACTAAAAGGACATGTTAAAAAATTGTATAACAGATTTATTAATTATAGCAATACCCATTCAGTATCATTTGCCTGTTACTACCTTTAATGGCATTTAGCACATAACTGAAGAAATTCCAGCAATTTAAAGTACTGTATTTTGAGAAAACAACAGTTAAAGCACTGGTTAAGACTGTAATAACCGATTGTAATTGTGGCAGGCGTGAAGACGGACCTTACAGGGGCTAATTTAGCCAATGAAAATGATCAAACTCTGAATACAATAAGAGATGTTTTTGTAGTGTATTTTAACTCAATGTTTTGGAACGCGTTAATTGATAATTTTATTTGATATTAAATGAGCAATAACAATATCCATGATTACAATAAGTAGAATTTACTACACACGGTTGTTTTCCTGCATACTAGTATAAAGACTACAGATACATTAGAAAAAGCCAGTAAATTGTAATCATTAAATCACATATAGAAATATTTAATTACCAGATTTTGTCGTAATATATGCAGAAAATTTAAATGCAACTTAATTTATTGATATTTCATTTAAGAAAATGAACTTTAAGTTTTCTATATATTAATGCATCAATGCTACATTTCTAATGTTTCAAATAAAGCATTCTCAAGAATCCCAGCCTCAAAAACACTTTCAAAATAAAAAAACAAAAGAAAAAAAATTCAAAATTCTTCTGAGTTGTCAATGTTTCGGTTTATCTCACCTCCACAGTACATTGGAGTATTTGATAGATCTGTTCTGTAACCAGCTGCGTGAGATTCGTTTAGAGGGTCATAATCGGCAATGGAACCAATCTTACGTGTGGGATAACTGTTAACTGTGAATCATCATAGAAAACAAAAAATATAAAGAAATAAAAATAAATTATCTTTTTAAATTAACTAAAATTATAAAAACAAATACATAGGATAAAATGGGACGACTGAGGTAGAAGTCAGAAGAGTAAAGTGTTATTGGAAAAAAAATAAAAAAATCAAAAATATTTTTATTCCATTGCATAATCGATACCTGGTCCCTCTTGGGATGTATAGATGACAGTAGAGCTAAGTTTGGAGGAATAGGGAGATTCATGGGCTTCTGGGGGTATCATGGGATCATAATCTGCTATCTTTCCTGAAGGTGACATTGGTGGTTGTGGCGAGGGAGATGGTGGTGATGCAGTGGCTGCTATAAGTTACGATAAGTGTTATTATTGGTAATAATAGGAGCCAAGGAAGAAATTTAATCATTCTTGTTATATGATTAGAATAAATATTAGTAATTGGGTAATAATTAATATTCTAATTAAAATTTTATAATACTGTAAACTGGTTAGAATAAGAACGTATAGAATACCTTTTTCCTTGCATTGATTCTTATTTATTTCTTGAAGAGCTTATTCGACCAAGTAATTTATAATAAAATTATTTAAATCCGTCAATACAAAGCATTATACATTTTAGAATATTTAGTATCTCAAACTTACATTCTTATTCTAGCCAGCTATAAAAATTTTAATTCTAATATCATAAAATATTAAATAAAATAGTTTAAAGATATATTCAGAATGTTTATTAAGAAAACATTTTAGTGTTTTAGACTTATTTGTATAAGAAAACTCAAACGTGTAATATTTACAAACAGTTAATACAATCTCTATTGTAATGCATGCGATTTCAAGGTTTCATATCAAAAAATGTTATTCAATTATCAAAAAATTGCATGTTGAATCATGAGAATGGTGCGGTTAATTTTAATCATTTGTCAAGAGTTGTTATAAAACTAAAAACTAGGCTGGGATTCAAAAAAATGCCAAAATGATGTATTAAAAATGCAACACCAGCGATTCATATTAAAATAAAGACTTGTTTTCTATGCAAAATGAAGTTTTAATTCCACAATTTCATCTGAATTTTAAGTCTGACTTCAAAAGATTTGAAAGGCTAACAAAAGTGCATTTATTACTAATGATTACACAATATCATGAGCAAGCCTATGATGGGTTACACCATGTTAAATTTTTAAATTTTAATATTAAATTCCAGTAATGTGAGCTTGAAAGTACTTAAAAACCAACTTTTAAACCAGTTTTTAACTCAATAAATACAAAGATAAATCAATCAATCTCTTAAGGTGTTGATTACGAATTCTTAAAATATTAATAAGTAATATAAAAAATTAACAAGTTATCGAATGCATGGCTTAAGAAATCTGCAGCNTGTGTACTTTATGTTTGCAGGATTTAAATCAGGCTACTTTACCATTACTATTAATAATTAAATACTAAGTAATTTGGAACTACTATAGAGGTAGTGTTAGGTGCCATCTTATTAAATTTAATAACTGTAATTAAAGTAATATTTATTAAATTTAGAATATCCTGGAAGAAAAGAATTGGCCTGGAGCGGGATTTGAACCCGCAACCATTGCTTACCGTAAAAATGCATTGCCAGTTATGCTACCCAGACCTCCCTTCCAAGCATATTTAATTTATATATAACCATGAAATCATCCCCTCAACCTGTTGGTGCTATAAGTAAGTATGAGGAAGGTTATATCTAAATGAAATGTCTAGATGTGAGGGATCGGATAGAAGTCTGGGTAGCATAATTGGCAACGCATCCACATGGTAAATGACGGTTGCAGGTTAAATCCTGCTCCAGGCTGATTCTTTTCTTCCAGAATATTCTAAATTTAATAAATATTAAATTAATTACAGTTAATAACTGTAATAAGAGATGGCACCTAACACATACCAAATTACTCAGTATTTATTTATATTTTCATAACAACTCAGAATATCTTCTATATTGAAGTTAAGACCATTTACAAAAATATACAATATTTTTGAGATTTTTCTTTATCCTTTAACAAGACCACAGAAGTAACAGTCTTAACTTCAATATAGAAGATATCCTGAGTCATCATAAAAATGTAATCATATGCAAATGAAGTGAAAAACTCAATACCACCACTAGAGTACTAGAACCAGTTATAAATAGGCTAAAGACTTGATAGTGGGTGAGAAAATGTCTTTGTTTTTAGAGAAGTTTGAAACAGTGTATATTACTGTTTCAAACTTCTCTAAAACTAGATTAATTAAATTGTAAACAACAAGAATAATTACTTAAATTTAACTGTTCAAAAAGAAAATATTTAAAAATGATGATCTCAAAGAAGCCTATCTTTAAGACAAGGTCACTTTTAAGTATTTTTATTAAGTGATCTGAAGTGTCAAATGATATGCATTATTTCATAATTTTATAAAATATTCAAAGATTAAATCAGAATCAATAATAATAAAGTTTCAATTCCAAGTAATTCAATATTTGGAATGGCCATTTATCATAAAATAAAATGTAGAACATGTTTTTTAACTTGCAGATTTGATGACAATATTAGAAATTTTTGGTGCAAGTCCTGTGGCAATTTTTAAGCTAACCATCAACTTTAAGTCTGTAAATTCATCATAATACATCTAAAATATTTAAATAAAATCTGACATTCAACTAGCAACAGACTAATTAAGGCATCATTCTCAATTCACAAGATTGTGGTAATTCAAACCCCATTTTATGCACATTTGCTTTTGTAGGCTTTAATAAGAGTAAGGGGAAAGAATCCTAAAGCATATAAATACATGGCATTACTGCTCACTACATAACGATTAAACAATTTAATAGAGAAGTTAAATGCACTCTGAGTCTCCTCATCTTGACAATTGACTGCATAAATATAATTTGAATTAAAGTTAACAGTCATGAAAATTATTCAAAAATTATAATATTTGTTTTCTTATCTTGTAAATATATTTTCCACTGTGAGCAAACTCTTCATGTTGGAAATTTCTGTAAGGTTAGGTATCATTTTGTATGTTATAAGAAGAAAATACAACTATATACAAAACTGAAGGACAAATGCTATTTTCAACAATTAGTTAGAAATTCAACCACAGCAGCCTGTTGAAATATGCATGAAACTGATGTACAGTACTCTTGTAAAGTACTAATTATGGAGGTGAGCTCCAGACCGACAGCAATCGAAGTGATTTCCAGAGCAATATAGGTTATTTCCATAGAGAGAGATTGAGAGCAAGTCTTGAGGAAGGTGGAGAAAGAATATAGGTTCCTAGTATTGAGGTGACAGATAGGATCTTAGTTTTGTAAGAATTGTTGTACATAGGTTAATTGATTGAGATTGTTGAGTTCCAAGGGGGAATAGTTCTAAGTTAGTAAATAGATTGCGTTATTTGTTGGGTTGTTCGAATTGTTGATTTTTCATTGAATAAATTGTTTTTTGCTTGTTACTAATAGTACTTAATTGAGTTCATATTAAATATTTGATTCTTACTAACCTTGTATATACTTATTTTGATGCCTGCGTAAGTCCAGGCCTGGCACACTAACCGCAAACCCGCATAAAGTACCTGTTAGGTTAACGGATGTTCCTTACACTCTGTTATGTAAAACTTGTGCAAACGTTTGAGTTCCACACGTTTGTCACATGACAGCACAGATAAGAAATTTCAGGCGATCTATATGTGTAGTCAGTTCTCATTGGATGTGAAATTTAACAGGAAGGAGTGAAGTTACAATAATGAAATTCCAGACTTGTCTTCCAGGCATCATTTAGATGATTTTACTCATAGAAGAATAATCAGAAAGCTGGAAGGGCAGCAAATAACAGAATAAATTGCCCATGAATTTGACATTGCACACAGTATCTTTTCTAGGCTATGGGCAGCATTTCAAACTAGTGGAATGTGTAGCAGGAGCAAGGAGAGGTCATCCTAACAGTATGATGCCTCAAGAAGAACAGTATATTGTTCTTTCAGCAAAAAGGAACTGATGCAGCACAGCTGGTGAAATGACAAGTCATTTACATGCAGCCACAAGAACAAAGATATCCCGTAAAACTTTTGCAAGACATTTACAAAAGAAAGGACTATACATCTGAAGACCCGTTGTGTCTCCTACTCAAGAGTTCACCAAAGCACCCATTTGCAATGGTGCAGTCTGCATCGCAATTGGACTAACAACTGGGCTACCATGCTCTTCTCAGATAAGAGTAGATTCAGTCTGTCATCTGATTCTAGACAGCAACTGATACGGCACAAGGTTGGCAGTGCTTATCATCTCCAAAATATTCAGGAAAGGGATTGATATCCGACTTGCAGTATCATGGTCAATGGCTGTACGAACCTGTATGTGCTTGACCAAGGAATCGTGCTTGACAAAGGGACCATGACTGGCCAATGGTACAATAATGAACTTCTGCTCCCATATGTTCGATTTTTCCAAAGTGCTGTCGGTGAAAAGTTTTGTTTTATGGATGATAATGTTCCTTGTCATCATACACAGGCTGTAGAGGAGTGTCTCGACAGTGAGGATATTCATCGCATAGTCTGGCCAGCCTGTTCTCCTGACCTGAATCTGACTGAAAATGTATGGGATGCCTTAGGGAGATGTATTGCTGGTCAACAATATCCTCTGACCAACAAGGATACCCTCATCCATGCAGTGAAAGAGGAGTGGGACAACTTGCCCCAACAGCTCCTTGATCATGTTGTTCTGAGTATGCCACATTGTGTACAAAGTTGCATCGCACTTCACGGTGACCATATTCATTACTGACATGACACTCAGGATTGTTTGTAGTAAGAATTGTGCATTCTTTGTACAACCATGTCTTCAAACAATACAAACCTTTTACAAAAATACCCTCTTTTGACATCCTGTGTACTTCCTTTCAACATATTTGTTATATTAAATCATACTGAACATACTGTCAATACTATTGTTTTCCTCTTGGTCTACAACCACATGTAGTTTTTTATGTACATGTCCATTTCTTCTTTGTCCTTCAGTTTTGTCCACCAGTGTAATTACACCAAAATTTAATTGACAGAGAAACATTTTTGAAATTTTAGTTCAACCAACTCTGGCTCACAATAATAGTCAAAATGAATGGAGCATACATGCAATGCTGCCAAAGATTTTAAAATTTACATGCAACATTATACAATGCTAATGTTACATGTATATTTTAAATTTCAAAGCCTTTAGAAACATAGCATGTAACCTGTATTTGTTTAAGTGTTGCTGCAAGCTAAAGTTGAACCAAAAACGTTTCTTCTAATTAAATTTTTTAAGTTGTTTTATTTTAAATAAAATATACTAAACTAT